AAAAAACGAAAATACAAAACCAGTGTTAAAACCTGTCTTGCGTAATAATAATTAAAATTAAAAAGAATGCGTTATGTCCTTAATCTTCGTAAATTTCCTTTTTTTTAGTTCGTATCACTTGCAAAAATAAATATTATATGCATTTCATAATTAGCCTTCGGAAAATATTTCCTAATTAGCCTTTTGTACTTAGATGTTTTGCACTTACGTACGTACGTACGTACATACTTGTGATACAACCCCCAAAAGGTAATTAATGATTTAGAATAAGTCTGACACATGTGCAAAACGGAAAAAAGACTGAAAAAAGACGAAAATTCAAGAAAACAAAATTTTAAACCTGCTTTGGGGAAGATGACGTACATGAAATTTTACGCATAATAAGTGTCAAAAAACAATTTGTTAAAATTGCTTTGGAAATTCTACACATAATATGTGATAGTTAATTTTTACAGCCTCTAACTATAACATTTTAGCCCTAAATTCCCACTCCACATACGTGCCATATTTTCGCGAATAATGGGCATATGTGTTATTTCGAATAATGGCTCGAATTATGCTTAATTTAAGCCAAAATTCGCAATTTACATCCCTGTGCGTTATTTTCGCGAAAATACTATAGTTGGTTATTTTTAAGTTTCCTTTTTTTGAGTTTGTATCACTCGTACAAATAGCATTTCCCTATACTGGATTAGATTGAATATATATACGTATGTACGTACGTACATAGGAAATATGTGACACTCAAACTTCTATGCATTATGATAGTATTAAGAATAAATGCTTATCAGCCACATAATGTTTTAACTGGCATTTATTTACAATTGTAATAAAAATATGTACGTACGTAAGCATTTATCTATTTGTGTCTAGGATAGTGCAATTAACTATTTTTTCTAAAGTGGATTATAAAATTAACTTTACAAGCATTTCCAAAAAGGGTAGCTCTCTATTTGGGTTTTTGCCTGTTGAGGAAGGAGATAATATTATATATATTCATACATCTTAGTTTCTCGCTCTCTGAATTCAGTTTACTCTCATAAAGCGCGACTAAAAATTATAAATACGGTCGCAATCTGAATTCAGTTACTGCCCTCTGAATTCATAAGTACGAAAAAAATTGCTCACTATCTGAATTCAGGTTACTCGCCCTCTGATTTCATGAAGCACGACTAGAAAAATTATCAATACGAAAAAAATTGTTCACAATCTGAATTCAGTTACTGCTCTCTGAATTCATAAGTACGAAAAAAATTGCTCGCTATCTGAATTCAGGTCACTCGTTTTCCGACTTCATAAAGCACGACTAGAAAAATTATAAATACGAAAAAAATTTCTCGAGAAAAATAATAAACACACACACACACACACACAAAAAAAAAAAAAAAAAAATACATATATATACCTAATTTTATTTATAAACTATGTCTAATAAGCGAAAATATATTAGTTTTACTGGAGAAGATTACAAAGAAATGAAGACTAGACAAGAAAACAGAAAATCTAAGAACACTGAACAAAAGTATATTGAAAACGGTAATATTTTATAGTTGTCTGAGTTCAATTGTTAATAAATTTCATTCATTTCTAACGTCAGAATATTATTATTAAATTTTAATAGAACGTTTCGAAAATATCGATCAAAAAATAGATTTCTTTGATCAAAAAATAAATTACTACGATTGTATGATAAATTACTTTAATGATATGATCAAGTGCCTCGATGTAAGAATGCAAAATCTCGAGGCGAGTTCTAATCAAACTCTCGGAGCTAATCAAGTTATTGCCACATCTGCCCAATCAGAAAGCTTCGACCCAAATAACCCTGATGCTTATATCGACAAGCTATTAGGGCTTGGCGACCGAATTACAAAACTCGAGAGGTCAAGTCTTCAAGATCAAGAATCTTAAAATTTTTTCTTTCAATTATTCATATATATATATATATATATACTTACAAATGGTGCAGGCAAATGGTGCATACAAGGTTTATAATTTTGTTCTTTAAACTGTGGGTAGTCTCAAGCGCCTTAATTAATGAGTCAATGTGTGATGTAAATGTGTCGGGAATTAAATTTTAATTAGCGGAATGTATTTTTAATTAATCATGTTTGTTATTAAGATGAATAAGTAAAGGGCACGCGGTTTACTTAAAAAAAATTTAAATAATGAAAATTGTTAGTGAGCTTATTAAAAAATTTTTTCCCGAATTACCTTTTTTTGCACTGACTTATTAAAAATTTATAACTATTAAAGTAAATAAAGTTACTGCGTTTTTTATGCATTTATCATGATCTTCGTTATCAACACACTAGCGTATTGCTTCTATGATGTTTTCTTGTTTATAAACCATTTAGAATCTACTCAAGCAGTGACTGAGTTCTTTATTTTGATATAACGTAACAATTGAGCATCACTACAATCTTATTAGCAAATCATATTAACAGTAATACTTGGGCATATTTCAATAATTTCTTCATTCGCATTATTAACTTTTATCTAAAAGGTTGAAAATGTCTAAAATTATCTTGTGCACTATTTCGATAAGGCGACTTGAAATTAAAACCTCGTTTAACGTTATTTTTTTTCGTATTTATAGAGGGGGGGAGGGATGAAAA